TCTCACCTCGGGAGTCCTGCTAGCCACCTTGGGCCCGCTGGTGTAATTAAATTCCTGCAGCACAGAGCGATTGTTGTCTTGCAGGCTTTGATGTTAACTACTAGGTCTTGAAAGCGGTCACTTGCCTTTTGTTCTCCGAAGGTGTCTCCATTGCCCCCACCCCCCCAATCTGAGGTGACCTGGTCTCTGATCTCCAGATACTGGCTTTTAACAGGAAATGTCCTTGGGGCCAGGCGAGCGCTCTCCCTTCCCAGCCCCAGCCCGACTTGAAAATTTAGGTCTTCCCAGGCACTTCATATCTGCTTGGCCCGTCTCCGGGCTGTTGACATCCTGTCGGCACATTTGGGGTCCTCTGGAAGTTGGGGGCCCACCCTAGGTGCTGACATGCTTGTTCTGGGATGTGACCTGGATCGGAGTTTTTTTTTTTTTAATTAGGCACAAGAGCTGGGGTGCAGGCCAGAGGTGCGGGGTTGGGCGGACTCCCCGGAGACAGAGTGGGGAGCAGAGCAGAACAGAGTGAGATACACCACTGAGGGGAGCAATGGGGGACAGGAAGGGTTTGCTGTGCCCTGCGGTCACTCACTGGCCTGGTATCGAACTTTGGCTGCAGGGGCTGCAGTCAGCTTCCTAGCTCGAGACTGACCCTGAGTCCCCAGAAGAGCCCCCCTTTTTTCTTTTTTTCCTGAAGTGGCTTCTAGTGACTGGTTTTCTGATGTAAAGCAACCTTGCATTCCTGGGGCGCCTCCTGTTTCTTGCTGAAGCAGGTGTGGCTGGCTCTCGCTCAGCCCCTGGCCAGCTGGGAGGCTGGGGTTGCCAGCCCATTGCTGTGGCCAAAGCAGCTCAAGACTGCAAAGTTGCCAGGAGCCGGCAGGTGCAGGGAGGCGTCCAGCCCCGAGTCGCGAGTGCCTTTGCTGCTCTGAACAGTGTGCCCGCGGCGTCCGTGCGGGGGGACAGTGAGTAGCCCAGATCCGAACGCACACCCTCTTGTGAGTTGTCGTCTCACCTGATGCTGGCGACTCAAGTCCAGCATCCGCCACGGTGGCTGCTTCCCGAACGTGAAGACCAACTCTGTGCTGCGTTGCCAAGTCCTGGCTTCCAGCAGGAGGGCCCAGGGCGCCGTGCGCCAGGAAGCCCCGGCCGGCTGTGACGTGGCTGTGCCTGCGGCGGGCCAGGTGGGGCTGTGGGGGCCCAGCCTGGCAGTCACAGCTGCGGAGGAGCCGGAAAGCTGCCTCCCTGCAGAACATCACAGTAGAGACTGTCGGCACTGGAGGGGTGGGGTGCTGCCCCCTTCTTCCTTCTGCAGAGGTTTCTCCTTCCCTCATGCTTTTCCTCCAGCACCTTTTTCAATAGAGTTCTGGGGTGAACGGACAAAGGAATTGTTGGGGGGAGGAAGAGACAGAAGTGCAGGGTGTCCTAAAAAAAACTCAGGAGGAATTGAAAGGGTGGGTTGGAGAAGTTCCTCTGTAAAATGGTTTCTTTTTAAAGATTTATTTTTTGATGCATACAGAACTGGGGTACAGGCCAGAGGTGCAGGGGCGGTGAGAGGCTTCACCAGAAACAGTGGGGAGCAGAACAGGCTGGCTGACCAAGTACACTGCTGAGGGGAGGAGCGGGTCGTCAGGAGAGGTCTGCTGCGCCATGTGGGTCACCTCCGGGGCAGGGATCGTGCTGAAGCGGCTTTAGCTTCTCAGTGCTGCGCTCTAATCCGCTGCACCACCAGGGAGGGCCCTAAAGTGGTTTACACATACAGAACTGGGGTGCAGGCCAGAGGGAGGTGAGAGGATTCACCAGAGCTGGGAGCAGAACAGGCAGATGTACTGAAACCCACTGCTGAGGGGGTAGGGGGGACAGGAGAGGCTGCCGCACCCGTGGGTCACCCCTGGCCCGGGTGGCACTCAGGCCGCAGCGGCTGTGCTCTCCCCGTTGCGCCTCCAGGGAGGCCTATAAAGTAGTTTCGTGATGGCAGCGGCGGCCTTGGGCTGAGTCCCTGGCGCCTGTGCCCGCCTGCCTTGCTGGGTGTGGGGAGCTGTTTCGGTTGTGGGGGAGGCTCCTTCCCGGTCTCCCGATGGGACCTGTGGAGCTGCCAGAAGACCAGAACAGGTGGCAGCGCCGGGCTGCAGCCCCCCAGACCCCCGCTTCCAAGCCCGGCCTGTGCCGGGCCCTCCAGTCCCCCCGCTTCCAAGCCCGGCCTGTGCGGGGCAGTGGGCCAGAGTCCTGGCCCTAGTCCAAGTCCCGGGGCTGCTCGCCTCACGGTCCTCGCGGCTGGGCTGTGTGTGTGTCAACCTGTGACCTCACTCCAGGCCCCGAGATTCCGCCCGCCGAGGAAGTCTCGCCACGACTGGATCGGCCCCCCGGACAGAGAGTCGAACCTTCGACCCGTTCACTTTTACGTCCCTGAAAACGAGTCAGCCCTGGAACAGCAGCTCAGAGCACTGAGGCAGGAAACGCAGGAGTGGAACCAGCGGTTCTGGGCGGAGCAGAACCTGGCCTTCAGCAAGGTACGGGGTTCCAGCCGGCGGGCAGCCCCTGGGGTGACCCACTGTGTTGGGGACCGGCCCCAACTGTTGCGCTATCGGGAGGCGAGACAGGCAGGGCCCTAAGGTGGGGGGCGTCGGGCAGCGGGCGAAGGGAAGACCTGGAGCCAGGGTTGGGTGCAGGCTCCTGCTCACTCCCTCAGCAGGTCTTTAGGTACACGGTGTAGCAAGTGGTTAATTGCAATAATGTGAGGGTAAGTTAATGAGAGATCGCCACAAATTGTCATAAATGTTCTCAAGGACGAGGGGAACAAAGCGTTTTTCTCTTAACATTTTATGGCATACTAAACTACGCGTTTTTGTGATAGTGGTCAGGTGTACAGATGTTTAGCTACAACTCAAGGCAGAGGGGTCTGGGAAAGGGTGAGCTCATTAGCAAAAGGTCATTAGGGGTGTTAGGGAAGTGATAAATTGTGTTAGTGTTTTCAGTGATTGTGTGAAGAAAAGCTAGTGGCTGATTTAAGGCCAGCAGAGAGCAGTTAGAGCTTGTTTTGAGGAGGAGTAAATGAAGGGAAAGCTGTACGGTTGTGTGTTAAACAACACCTGTGTAATCAAGGTTCGAAGTTGTCCATGAGTCCTTATGCCCTGGAAGTCTCATCTGAGGTTTGCTTTTTTATTTAAAGAAGCCAAGGAAGCTTCCCAGGAGTTTTTATGCTCCAGGGTCTTATTTGGGGGTGGCGGGTGGGGGCTTGCCTTTTGTCTCAGGAGACAGGAATTTCCCACCCTGGGGCAGCTTGCCTGAACCAGGAGGCACCTTATGAGGCTGACGCAGGCCAGTTGTAAGCTGATGGTTGCTCGGAATAGCTTGATACACGATTATACAAAAAAAGGAGGTCATAAGTTAGCGTGCTTTTTCAGAGCTTTTCCTTCCTATCTGGAATTTGTCGGTCGATAGAAGTTGCATAGCTTGTGTCATACTGGAGTCAGCTCTGAGGGTCACGTCGGAAACCCTGTCACGTGTGAGCACAGTGTGCGTCCCGCCGCGCGGCACCAGCCCATGCGGCGCTGCCCTGGGGCCTCTGTCGGGGCACGGTGACCGCCCTGCAGCCACAGCTGTGAGACCCAGGGGAGTTGGGGCCCGGCCTGAGCCCGCGTCACCAGTGTGTCACGTAAGCACGGCTCGTGCGCAGGCCTCAGCTCTGGGTGCCGCTGGCGGCAGGCGCTGGCAGGGGCAGGCGCTGGCAGGGGCGGCCGCCGCCCCAGCTGCAGGGCATCTCTTTCTGAGGACTTTTTTGTAAAGATTTATGAATTTATGCACACAGAATTTATGCAGGTGCAGGGGGTGAGAAGATTCCCCAGAGCCAGAGTGGGGAGCAGAGCAGGCAGATGGACTGAAACGCACTGCTGAGGGGGCAGCGGGGGGCTGGAGAGGTCTGTGGTGCCCTGCGGTCCGGTCACTCCCTGGCCAGGGTCGCACTCAGGCCACAGGGACTGTGATTTGACTCTTAACCCCTGCACCACGGGGGCCCCATTCTGAGGGTTTATGACCAGACACGGCCCCAGCACTTACCAGGCGTCGCCACTGTCCAGAGCAGCCCTCAAGTTCAGGGTCTGGCCGGGCTGGGCCACGGGGCCACCCGGGGCCGCCGAGTTCTCATCCCTCTCTCCTTTCAGGAAAGAGAAGAGTTCATTCACTCGAGACTCAGGGCCAGGGGCCTGGGCCTGAAGACCGAGTCAGGTTAGCTCCTGGACCGTCCTGCTGACTTGCGTTTGAGTGACCTCGTGAAGGGCGCAGCCAGGCAGCCACGTTGCCTGGAGGGGGGAGGCTCGGCCCGGACTCTTCTCCCCGCGCCTGTGCCGCCCTGGACCTCGGGCCATGCTGAGCGCCGGGGCGCCGCCCCGCTCCCCACTTCTGCGGCCCACCTCCCCCCCCCCCCGCCCCAGGCGCTGCCTCCCCACACCAGGCCCTGGTGCACCCTGGGAGCTCCCGTCGCCGCCTCCCCCAGTCCGCCTGCAGGACCCTGCCTGTCCCCTCGCTCTGGCCGCCACGTCGCCCCAGCGCAGGCCCCTGTTCAGTCTCCGTCACGGTCCTATGGCCTCCGTCTGTGAGCTGGGGCTGGGCTGGCAGACCCCGTCGGGGGCCCCGTGGTCGCGGCTTGGCCTTTGCAGGCCGAGTGGGTCAGCCGCTGCGTGAAACCCGCGGCAGCCCTGGGTCGCGCCGACCCCGTGGTCTCGTCTGCAGAGACAGGTGGCCTGCGGCTGGCTTGGTCGGGGCCAGGAGCGAGGCGGCGCCAAGCTGGGCCCCTGTGCTGTTTGAGGCCTGAGGGAGGCGCTGGGGCCCTCGAGGACGCTGCAGCCCGGTAGGGCCTGCTGTGGGCCCTGACCGCGGCCGTCCTGCCTGCCACCGCCCTGCTCCACAGCTGTGCCGCTGGCCAGGCGCCGGCCTCGCAGGGCGGGCTTCGGGCTGGGACGCGCTTCGGAGCCAGCCCCCGCGGTCTCCTGCCCTCGGCTCAGCTGCTGCTGGGGGCGGTGCCGCGTGCTGGGGGTAGTCTTAGTCAGATTTTTGAGAATTTGATGACAAAGGGCAGGAAAGAACGCGGCGTGGAGGGGCCCAGCTGGCAGCTGTTTAAGAGGTTGCCAGGCCACGGGGCGGGTGAGGACCAGGAGGCTGCCGGGGAAGAGGTGGCGGCCAGAGAACACGCCCGCGACCTGGACGTGGGTTCAGTGAACGCTGCATCCATGGCCGCGCCCAGCGCCGGGTGTTGAGTGAGCCGCGGCCCGCGGAGCCGGCCCTGTGGGCAGTGGCCAGTCAGGCCGGGAGCCGTGTCGCCTCGGGCTCTCTGGCTGCCTGTCTTCCCGGAGGGTCACGTGCGCAGGAGGCTGGAGCCAGGCTGGAGGCGCGGGGCAGCCAGCACCCGCTGGCCGCTCTGGCCCAGGCCCCCTGCCCGGCTATGCTGCGCATTGGGGCGCGGGGTGCAGGCGGCTGCCGTGGATACCGGGGAGGCGCCCGCAGGCCACGGCTGCCCACATGGGAAGCAGGGCGGGGTCCAGCGTGAGCGCTGTCCACCGGGGTTGGGCGCACAGGCTCGGCCGCTCTCCCCCGGCGTCCGACAGATGCCTCTGGGTCTGGGTCAAGCCCAGAGCCTGTGCTGCGTCCACCTGGGTGGTCCCAGCATCGGGGGGTCTCGGCAGGAGGGTGCCTGTGGGGGCGAGGCCGGCAGCAGAGTCCTGGGCAGAGACTGCCCCGGGCTGCTCTGGGGGTGCCTCGGGAGCCCTGCTGACCCCGGGGCAGGCGGTCCTGTCCCGTGGCCCTCCGGGCTTGTGAGTGGGCGTCAGCTGGCCCCTGCTGGTGCGCTCAGCCGGTGGGGGGACGGCAGCCTGCGGGGGCGGCCTGGGGGCGGCGGTCTCTGCTGGAGCAGGTCCAGGGCCCTGGTGAGCTGCCGCCACGCCCATGGACAGGCCCAGCGCTGCGAGACACCCCACTTTCCCCGAGACACCCCGCCCTGCCCCGGCCTCTCCTCGGTTGTCTCTGCTGCGGGCCCCTGACGCTGGCACGGGCGTCGGGCTTCGCCACCTGTTTGTGCCTGCTCGGGGCTGGCGTTGCCGTGGGGCAGCCCGAGTCGGCCAGGAGTGTCCGCAGGCCGCTGGTGCTGCCAGTGCCCTGGTGAGGGGCCTGCCGGCCTCCTCGCCCTGTGCGCCCTCGCCAGGCAGCTCGTCGG